CTAAACCAGCTTCATACATCATTCACCACACTCTATATCACTGTCACCGTCACTGCCAAGAAAATCGGGTTTTATGCATCTCCAGTGAACAGTATACTTGCACCCATGCTCCATACACTCAATTGACAGATCTTGGCAAGGCTCACCACAGGGAACACATTCAGGGTAGTGATAAATCTTTTTAACGAATGTGAGAGGATGTCGATGACCTTCGTATGTGTATTTGCTTCCGGCCTTGATAAATCGGGACTCTCCGATAACACATTTGATATGCATAGCATTGTCACAAGTTTCACATCGATAAAACCATCTTTAGGTATCAAAATAGAATATAAGTAATAATTCAGGTATTAAACATGTAGTTTATTTTTTAATAGTGTAGGAGATTACAGTTGAAAACTTTCTTAACCAATTGATAACACTCTTATAGGTGTAACTGTTTAAATCCAAAACCTCTAATAAGTAACATTTCTTTTAACCATCTAGTAATTAATAGGTTCGAGATTATGTAATTATTGTCTCCGTTATTTCAGCAGTTGAATGGTTGGTGTGTTCCATGTTTGATAAATTGTTATATGATGAATTAATTAATATAAATGTTTATATGATAAATTGCAAATTTAACTATTTTTTTTAATAAATATTGAGCTTACATAGTAATTTTTTTAATATTTATAAAATAACAAAGATTTTAATATAATAATGTTTGTCAACACCGTTTTTCGCACGGGTGGGGAAAGGCCTATACCGACTTGGGAGTTTTCTCTTTTTGAAAATCGTTTCGAAATGTGAGGAGTCGCCACCAGTTATTTAAGGTGCGATTGGAACACCAGAAAAATGGATGATTTTAATAAAATATTTTATTTTTATCAAAATACAGAGTTTTGAGGTCTGCGAAAATCTAGAAATCAGGTTCGGGAGTCGGTTACGCGTGGGGAATGATTAACACCTCCACAAGCGCCCAAAAATTGGTACCCAGTTGATTATCCTATATTTAAAATTGGAAATTTTGAGTTCGATCTTTATTTAATTTAAAAATCATTAATGATGCGAAGTTGAAAAGGGTATTCGTTTATTAAGGCCGATAGCCTTCACTCCCGAGCGTAAATGCGGAAGATCATCTATTGTGCCTAATAACCGAACATTGCCTCATTTTTAGAAAACATGATGCAATTTTGAAAATGATGTCGACTTATTTAGGGAATTACCAGTAGTCACTCCTTGAGCATGATCGTGGGAGATATACTATTAATTTCTTAAATGAGTGTACAGTGCCTTAAAGTTAAAATAAAATGCAATCAAACAAAATTTTATTTTATCCTAATTAATCTAAAGTAAATTAAGGTTTTTTCTAACTTAAGGTGTCAAATTATGAGAATTAGGGAACTTAGGGGCTCAAATCTAAAAATGTCGGCTCTAGTATTAATCTTATTTGATTTTAAATAATTATTGAATTAAATAACCGAGATGGTTTCTCGAGCATTTACGCGAGGGCTGACTCGAATTATCCCCTAAATTAGAAAACTAGTATGAAATCTAAGCTAAAATGGAGGCTCTATTTAACCTATTTAATTATGTAAAAGTTGAAGTTCTAATTAAGTTTGGGGACTAAATGGTCAAAGGATTAAACTATGACTATGAGACCTAAATATAAAATCCTAAAACTTAAGGATCTAAATTGCATAAAATAAAAATTACTAAAATGCAATAAAATAAAAGATAGTAGTTAAATAGGAAATAAATAGTGACCAAAATGCAAAAATTAAAATAAAAGTAGCTAAATCAACAACTAACAGTGACTAAATTAAAATAAAACAAAACATAATGATAAAATTGTAATAAATAAAAAACAAAAGATCTAGTGACCAAAATGTAAAAACACGGTAAAGTTCTGAGGACTAAAAACAATAATAACCCAAAAAGTAACAACACATGCACAAAAAAGGTAGAATTTCAAAATCAATCCACGAAGTTTCAGAAAAAATTAAAAGGTCACTACACATGACTAAAGTGAAAAAAAACATGCTAATAGTGAGGGGATTAAACTGAAATTATACAAAAAATTTTAAAGTACCAACAGAAAATGGAAAATTATGAAAATAATCCCTTCCAGTTACCATTTTTGTAAAAACACGAGAATTGTTGAAGGATCTAAAATGCAATTTCCCCTTAAATTGTTTTATAACTACAAACTTTTTCCCTTCTTTTTAACATTTTATTTTTCTTTCTTTTTTTAAAAAAAAATAGAGATAGAGGGTCTCCATTCTCTCTATAATGTTGTCCGATCATCGGTCGCCGTCGGTTGCTACGCCGTCTCCGTCTCCGGTGGCCGTTGGCCACTAAAAGTTATCGGAGACTCATCTCGACGCAGTGGTCACAAATCCGAGCTTGGTTTTGTGAAAAACGATCTCCAATGCCTCAAAATAAACCGATAACCCTCAGCTTCAACTGCCTGGATCTCCGCCGTTCACAGTTGGATCAGACCCAAATTTCAGTATGTTTTTTCTCTCCTCGAGACGCTCCTCATCACTGTTCGGATCTGCGAACCGACCCCCCGAACGCCGGTGAGGCTTCGACAGAACACAATGTACTATCATTTTTATTATATATTTTTTGTTTCGAAAACTAAAATAAAATAAAATAAAAAAATACCAGAAAAATATCTTTGAATCTTTTTTTTGCTTTTTATTGATTTTTGAATGGGAATGGAACCCCCGACCCTTCGCTCAAACACTCCAACGACCACGAATCAACCCCAATTGGCACCCTTCTCAGGTAAAAAATCTAACCACTCTCATTCCATTGTTTTATTTACACATGCAAGATAATTTTTTTGTTTCGAACTATGAAAATAAATGACAAAAATACCTTCAAAATTACTCAAAAATTTCATATTTTTTTTCGATCTCGAGAGTCCCCTTACATTTTTTTGCTTCGGGTTCATATAGCATCCTATTTTACAACATGTTTTTTTCTTTAAACAAAATGATTGAAATCATCGTGTTTTTTTCTTTTGCATTTTTCTTTTACTTTTCTTCTCTCATTTTTATTATATTTTTTTGTTTCAAAAATTAAACTAAAATAAAATAAAATAAAAACACCAGAAAAATATCTTTGAATCTTTTTTCTGCTTTTTATTGATTTTTGAATGGGAATGGAACCCCCGACCCTTCGATACTCAAACACTCCGACGACCACGAATCAACCCCGATCGACACCCTTCTCAGGTAAAAAAATCTAATCACTCTCATTCCATTGTTTTATTTACATATGCAAGATAAAAAAAATTTTGTTTCGAACTACGAAAATAAATAACAAAAATACCTTCAAAATTACTCAAAATTTCCATATTTTTTATTGTTTTTTTTCGATCTCAAGAGTCCCCTTACATTTTTTGCTTCAGGTTCAGATAGCCCCTGATTTTACAACATGCTTTTTTTTCTTTAAAGAAAATGATTGAAATCATTGTATTTTTTTCTTTTTCTTTTACTTTTCTTTTTGCTTTTACTTTGAAATATAATGATGAAAGTAAAATATGATATTATTATGTTTTTATTGGTGGATCCAACTGGAATTCGGTGAAGAAGAAGAAAACGGTGGTCTACCGGGTCGGGTCAGTTCCGGGTTCCGGGTCGAATCTTGGGCCTGGTACAGGGATGAAAATTGGTGATTACAATGTTATTTTAAGTATATTTATAGCCATAATTTTTTAAAAATAATTTAAAAATATAATATACTAAATAATTATTTAACTATTGATATCTTATCTATTTATCGATTAATTCAGATCAAATATTGTAAAGTCTTATTATGGATGCGACCTTCGAATCCTTGACCTTAAAATCTAGAGCTTCATCACATTGCATAGAGATAATCTTTTCAATTCGATTTGAATCCTAAACTTAAGTCCAGTATTTCATCCCACTATATCAACTGATCGTATGTTAGTAAAAAATGTAAGGTAAATTACATTAAATACTATTTAACTTTAGTTGATGTATCAGTTATACCATTAAACTTTCAATTGCTCCAATTATAGCATTGAATTTTAATTTTGACTTCAATTATACCATTAAACCATTAAAATCCAACTGACACAATGCAAGGACAAAACTTTTAAACGATATTGTTTTAGCACTAAAACTTTTAAACGATTCACTTTTAGCATTTTATTTTTCCGGGCGCCTCTGGCAGTATCTTTGTCCATCACTAGTCTTCATTCTCGACAAGATCAATATCAAAACATTCACATTTTACTCATATTTCTAATCATATGATTGATTTTCTATAAAACTCACTTAAACCTAATGAAATTAAATAAAAAATTACCAATTATATAGGTTTCGAGGCTTTCTTGAATTTGAGGTTACAATGTTTGTTCTAAAATTCAAACCATGAGAAACATTATTTTAAGAGGATAAACAATATATTTCAAAACTAGCCTCACTAGATGATCATAAGAGGAGATCAAAGTATTAACGCATTAAACCTTTAAATGAATTTTCGTTAATTTTGAGTGGTTTCATGGAAAATTAATCTGATGAGAAGAAAAAAGAGTAAAAAGTCAATATATTAATATCGATCTTGTCGTAAATGGTAACTGATAACGGGAGATGATTGGAGCATGCAACGGTCGAAAAAGTTCAGTGACTAAAATTAGATCTTTTTAAATTTAGTAATAAAATAGATACACGCCTAAATTTAAGGCCTAAAATTATGTTGCTTTAGGCATCAATAGTCGCATAAAAAATGAGGTCATTTTACCCTCATCATCACAGTGATAATAAGATCCATCCACATCATCATGTCGTTAAAATTTAACGACTCAGTGGTATAATTGAAGTCAAAAATAAAATTCAATGTTATAATTAGAGTAATTAAAAGTTTAACATTATAATCAGTACATCACCTAGAATTCACTGGTATATGGTGTAGTTTATCCTATTTTTAATTATGTAAACGCATTTAGAAAGGAAAAAACAATTTTCATTACCAAAACAGAAAAAGGTGAGTGCTTTGCTTTTGTTCACACTTTCTTTGTGCATATCTTCAGGGATTTTACTGCAAATTTCTGAAACAGAGTCTTTAAACCTAACGAGTCAAAGCTGGTAGTTGGTTTTTTTTTCTGTCATGGGTTTCACTTAAATCTTTGGTTTAGGTTTCAAATTGGAACTCGCCACTGATCAATGCCTTTTGCTTTGAATTGTAGGTAAAGTTCTCATTTTTAATCTATAAGCGTTGCCTTTATTTAATTTCGAGTAGCTTAATCAGTTTGAAATTGCTCCAAATCGTTGGGGAAAAATGTGTCTCCAATCATTTCGGCTTGTATGAAATTGGAAGACGGCGGTGGGCAAGACTCCGCAGAAATATTCTAGGGTTTTGCTTTGAATTGGATGTAATTTCTCTTTTTTAATCTGTTAGGGTTTCCTTTGTTTAGATTTGGGTTACTTAATTAGCTTAACAGTTCTCCAAATCGTTGAGAAACACAAAGTTTCGTGCAATTCAATTTATATGAAATGGAAGACGGCGGTGGGGAAGAATACATAGATAAATCTAGGATTTTGAATGTTAAGCCACTACGATGTTTGGCTCCCATATTCCCTCCAACGCCGAGTTTCCCTTCGTTTCCGCATCCCCAAGCTGCTCCGCCTTTTATGTGTGCACCTCCTGCTGGTCCTTGCCATTCTGGTTTTGCGCCATTCTATCCGTATTCTGGTTTCCCGGACACTCACAACATGCAAACTCCGATGCATTATGGGTTCAATGGAACCATTCCCGCGGTTCCTATCAATTCATTCAGGAGTGAAGCAAATGGAGATGCCGGAAGGAGTTCAAGGAATCCGGGTTTGTCAGAACACGAAGAAGATGGTTACAGTGATGGGGTTCATGTAATTGATGTTGAAGATTCAAGCAAGGCTGCCCCCAAAAGGAAAAAGAATCAGAAGAGGATGCGGACTGGCAGCAGCCAGGATTTCAATGTTGCGTCCTCTGATGTGGATATAGATGGTGTTGTTGATAAAATTGTCGAGTCATTTAATCTCATGGACTTCGATACATTCAGGCGAACCGATGGTGACAAGGAAGCAGTAGGATATATAAGGTTGATCTACGATGTGCTTCGACGAAAAATTTCTCAAATTGAGGATGCGAAGGAATCTGCTTCAGGAGTAACGAGACGACCCGACTTAAGAGCGGGAACCATACTAATGAACAAAGGGATTCGGACTAATGTGAAGAAGAGAATTGGTGTTGTGCCTGGTGTGGAAATTGGGGATATCTTCTTTTTCAGGATGGAGATGTGTTTGATTGGATTGCATGCTCCAATTATGGCTGGCATTGATTACATGGGGCTTAAGGTCTTTCAAGGTGAAGAACCTGTAGCAGTTAGTATTGTATCGTCCGGAGGGTACGGGGATAATTCAGATGATGGCGATGTGTTGGTTTATAGTGGCCAAGGTGGAAATGTTAATAATAGAGGCATGGAAATAACTGACCAAAAGCTTGAAAGGGGCAATCTTGCTTTGGAGAAGAGCTTGCATCGAGGTAACGAGGTTCGAGTGATTCGTGGTGTAAAAGATATAGCAAATCCAACCGGAAAGATATATGTTTATGATGGTCTTTATAAAATCCAGGAGTCATGGGTGGACAAAGGGAAGTCTGGTTGCAATGTTTTTAAGTACAAATTAGTTAGGTTACCCGGGCAGCCTGAAGCATATACAGTGTGGAAATCCGTTCAGCAATGGAAGGATGGCAGTGCTGCTAGAGTTGGCCTTATATTGCAAGATCTCACTTTGGGGGCTGAAAGCATACCTGTTTCTCTTGTTAATGATGTTGATGATGAAAAGGGACCTGCAAATTTCACATATTATCCCGGTCTAAGATATTCAAAGCCTGTAAATTCAATCGAATCTTCAACTGGCTGTGGTTGCCATGGTGGGTGTATAGCTAGTAACTCCAACTGCCCTTGCATTCAAAGAAATGGTGGCTATCTCCCATATACTACCAATGGTGTTCTTGTCAGCCAAAAAGCCTTGATACATGAGTGTGGTTCTTCATGCGTGTGCCCTCCTAATTGCAAGAATAGGGTATGTCAGAGTGGTCTGAAAGTTCGTTTAGAGGTGTTTAAAACTAAAGATAGAGGTTGGGGTCTAAGGTCATGGGATCCTATCCGCTCCGGGGCTTTTATTTGTGAATATGCAGGGGAGGTCATTGATATTTCTAGGGCTGAGGAGCTCGGAGGCGTAAATGATGATGATTATATTTTTGATGCAACCCGTACTTGTCAGTTGGGGGAAAGTATCCTGGGTATATCTAATGAGACTCCAAAGATCCCATTTCCGCTAGTTATAAGTGCAAAACATTCCGGAAACGTAGCGCGATTTATGAACCACAGCTGCTCCCCAAACGTATTCTGCCAACCAGTTTTGCTCGAGAATAGCAAGGAGTGTGATCTGCATGTTGCATTTTATGCATACAGACATATTCCTCCAATGACCGAGTTGACATATAGCTATGGCATTGTTCCACCTGATAGAACATACCAGAGGAGAAAAAAGTGCCTTTGTGGATCAGCAAAGTGTGTAGGCTACTTTTACTAGTGGTCTATCAACTCGTGAATTCGAATCAGCATGGTCTTTTCCATTAGAAAGGTTAGTTTTCTCCAATTATGTGGTATATTTACTTTAAATACGCTTAATCTTCTTAGATTTGACAAAGTATTGTAGATTAGAGGCGGCCATTATCTTTAATTGTACAAAGTGCTTGCTTCCTTAATACGGCTTTTATCTGATTAAAATGAAAAACAGAGCTCCTTGAAACCTTATCTTTGTGAACCCTAAATCAGTGATAATGTAATTGCTTAGACATTGTTCTTAACTATTTGCTATGTTTTGAATTAAGATTGCTATCATTGTGTGTGAAAAACTGATTGGAGATTAAGAAAATATCACTTCAATCTTTTAAGAGTATTAATAGTGCTCGCTGGGGATGTGTCAAAGTTCATTTCTTTATCCCATACCTCTCTCATTAGCCTAAAATGACGTCAACCGGTTTGAATCTGATTTTTGCCATGCAGTTATGTGCTGCCGTTTCTATCACAGTTAGTAGCTGGGGGTTTAAATCCCGTTCCTCTTGTTAGCCTAGGCATGCCTTTTTGTCAAGGCGATAGGCATAGAAAAGCTAGCCTGGTTGAAGTTCTTTTTAATTTATTTTATGTTTCACTTATTTCATTCGATATACATTTACTAGTAAAATAAGGATAGTATCAAACTCTTCACTTCTCAATATTCGAATAATATACTATATGCACAGACCATAAGGAACCGATGCATATTGAACATACAAAAACTCACGCATATACATGGTCAATATGAGTGCCTGGAGTGCACCTTGTGCATTAACTGTTCCAACTAGTCAATGTATGAGTGTCCTTTACATCCTTTACTTCAGGCTACATATACTTTACTCCGTACTACATACCGTTGGTTGATCCATGAATTCATTTGTGCTGAAGAATTGGCAATTGATTTTACAGGTACAGAGGCATACCGACGTTTCCGCTTGTAGCTGCTGAGCTTGCACGAAATGGTCCTCCTCGTCCTCTTTTACTTTTTGACATGCTGGGTCCGGTAATGAAGTTCTAAGCTTATAACATGGAGCATTTTGGCAGAACTGCTGATTATAAAAACACATGTATAGTGTAGTTTAGCTTCTTCTATCTCCATGATTTTTTTTCTGTAATCAACTAAGTTATGTTTGTGTTTGGTCTAGGGCAAGGTGACTACTAGGAATTCACCTGAATTGAAGTACACTTTTGAGGTTTTTGAAGGTTTAAATATATTAATATTTCATGTCTGTAATTAGGGAAACATAGTAACCATCAATATCATGCGTATTTGCTCAAGTTCGATTCGGACCTGAAATATGAGCTTTAATTTTTTTTCGAACTCCTTTATCTGTAGTTTATATATCTATCTAATCTACAATATATATATATATAAAAGCTCAAGTTTGGTGAATTTTTTGAATTGACTAAAATATCTTTTTTGGCTCATTATATTATTACAGTTGACATCACAAAATTAATATTTTAAATATTATTAATTATTATATAATTATTAAAGTAATATTGATTATAAAAGTAATATTTGGCAAATACCATATATCACATCTAAACCAGAAAAGAAAACAATACAACTTACAACACCACAAAATGTAATACAAAGACCAAGAAAACCACTCTTTTTTCCCACACAAATTCAATACATTATGAACAGTTTTACTTTAGACTAAAGAGGATTCATACATCAATTATTTATAAGAGAATGAGGTGCTATTCAATCCCAATGAGCGAAGTATTTGCATCCTTCCTCTATACACTCAAGGGCTAGATCTTGACAGGGTTCACCACACAGGCATTCAGGGTAGTAATAGATATTTCTGATGAATGTGCAAGTGAGAGGATCTGGATCATCTTCAAATGTGTATAAAACCATTGCTTTAGATCTCTTTCTTCTTCACAGATGTCACAATAATGTCGTAGCGGATAGTCATCGGGATCTTGATAAACAAGTGCCAAAAGTATGTTCGTTACACTTATGCCAAGCAATACGTGGTAATGTAACACATCTCCCATGCAGAGCAAATGTGCAATCCTTGCATCTGTATGTTTGATCAGAACGGGTAAAACCTTTACCACAAGCACTGCACTTCCCTTTAAAGTTGTCGTCATTGAAGAGGAAATGTGGCTTACCTGCTTGATATGTACAACTGTGAGATACTGAAGCACATCTAAGACACAAGCACCGGAAATCAATCACTATGTAGGAGAAACCACTACACGTATAGCAGCATTCACTACATTTGAAAATACCGTCAGTGAGAAGACGGAACGGTTTTGCATTAAACCATTAAACCATAGTCGACGCATCCTCGGCAATTCAGCACATGCCTTGTGTAAAAAGAAATCACAGTGTGAACAATAGTGAAATGAGGAAACAATAGGTAGCACACAACCATTGCAATAGTTATTATCCTTGATGTCATCTAAGAATATAAAGTTGTATCTTTCCAACTATTACATCGTCTCTAACTTTAATTTCTTTGATAATATGATGATGCAACTCATAGATTCATACAACGGATCAGATTCCTCAAATTCGTCGATATTTTCTACCTCAACCACATCATACAAGTCCTTCTCATCAATGGAACACTCGACATGGATAACAAAATCACAACCTGGTCGAGAGCAATAATAACTCCCGTGCTCGATGTTTACTTTTTTAAAACAGATTTTGCAATCCCAATCTCTAGAATCATGGTGGTTAATGTAGGTGAAAAAGTAGTGGGAAATGGGATGGAAATGAAGATTGAGTCGAATGTGGCGTGGCAATGAAATGCAGTCCTTGTGAACTAGAATGTTGCTCGTCGAACAAATATAGGAAACGTAATTCACTTGGTTGCCACATGCATCTCAGTGGAACGGGTCATTTGGTTTTTACAAAAAAAATAAGAAGGCGATCATGATGAGATTTGTCTTCAATAATGGGTGGTGCCCAAGCACATCCGAGGTGTATGTAAAACTTGCAAGGGACACAACGACAATAAAATCCCAACCGGATATAGAGTTTGCACAGGCTGCATTTAGGGAAGTCTTCGTCGGGATAATCGAAAACAAGCTAAAGTTGGTGTTTACGGGGGCAAGGGTGCTTAATTGTTGAGGGTAATTGAAGACATTTCTTATGGGAGACATTTCTACATTGAATATAGCACACAGTGGAAGAAGAATATTCAAATCCTCGTCTGTTTAACTAGTCTTTTTTTTTACTGATATTAATCTCATTATTAAAGTCCTATTTGCTTAAAAATACCTCTGGATCTTCATTATTAGTCTGATTAGTTATTCTCTTTGGATCTATCACTAACAAAATCACGTGATTTATCATAACCAAATATGTTATTTAATAATCGTATCTATTTATTCTATTTGTCTATGGATAACCATCATTAACATTAAAACTGACACTAATATTAGACAGTCATTATATAAACAACCGAGCATAGGTGGTGAAGGGTGCTTAACCTATATCTTTCCCCTTCGGTTGTTGATTTCTCTCATCTTTTTTTTGTTCGCCATTTTTTTATATAATTATCGACTATGATTTTCCGTCTAAATTAAAAGGATAAACGTTTACAGTTGTTGTAACTTAAATGTTACGATCAACAAAAATTAATATGATAAATATACAATCATGATTTTTTTACTCATCGAAAGGTATGAATACTAGTGTTCTTGCTTGTAATGTTGCTTAACCTGTTATAAAATTACAAATTATATTTTTAGAGATAAGTGTCAAAAGAAAATAACATAAAAAAATTATTTACGAGGTTCAGACTTTAAGCAAATTAAATAATGGTCAACTAAATTGATGATCCCTTTTGTTTTTGCTTTGCAACATTGAATGATAATGAACAAAGTCACAAATTACAAAAACTGGCACATAAAAAACAAATGCTGCATATGAGGACTCAAAAACCTGCAGGAAATGCACTCAAAACAGGGATGGACCGAGGGGTGTTGGGAGGTGCGGTTGTACCTCTAGAAATTTCAATATATTTTAGAATTTTTGTTGTATTTTATGTTGATTATCTTGTTTCGCACCCCTAAAATTTTATAATTTCGCACTCCATGACATGATTTCCTACATCTGTGACTCAAAACATGTTCATATACCATAAAAGAAAACAATACAGCTTACAAGACCACTGCTAATACCGCAAACGTAATACAAAACAGAAACCAGTCTGTTTTTCCACATCAAATTTGCCAAATAAGTGGTTTAATAAATAACAAACAGTTTTAATTCAGACTTGAGCAGCTTCATGCTTCATTCAATGAGTCTATATGAGCATCTAAGATAAAAATGTGTTATGCAGCTCCAATGAATAATATATTCGCATCCTTCACACTCGAGGGCTAGATCTTGACAGGGCTTACCACACCAAGCGCATTTGGGGTAGTAATAGATCTTCCTGACAACAACGAGAGGATGTGGATGGCACTTGTATGTGTATTTGCTCCCAACTTTGATGAATGGATATTCTCCGAGAACACACTTGATATGCAAAGCATTGTCGCAAGGTTCACAACGATAAAACCATTTTCGTAGATCTCTTTTTTCTTCGCAGAAATCACAATAATATCGTAGAGGATAGTCATCAGGATCTTGATAAGCAAGTGTCAGAGGATGTCGATCACACTTATGTGATGCAGTTCGGGGAAATGTGACACATCTCCTGTGCAAAGCAAATGTGCAATCTTTGCATCTGTATGCTCTTTCGCGACTTAAATCTTCACCACAAGCATTGCAATTTCCCTCATGTTTTTCTACAAAGAAGATAAAATGGGGCTCATCCGCATGATATGTAAAACTGTGAGGTATTGAAGCACACCTAAGGCACAGGTACATAGCATCCCCATCTAATTCGTAGCAGAAACCACTACACTCGTTGCGACAAATATCACATTTGAAAATATCACTTATGACAAGACTGAAGGGATTTGCAAAAACCCATAGCCGACACATTCTCGGTAATTCAGCACATGCCTTGTGTAAAAAGAAATCACAACGTGAACAATAGTAAAATGGGGATAAGATAGGTAGAACACAACCATTGCAACACTTATTATCCTTAATGTCATCTGAGAATATCAAGTTGTGCTTGTGACTAATATGTTCCATCTCTCCAGCTATTACGTCGCCTCCAACTTTGATTTCTTTGATAATACGAATGATGCAACTCATAGGTTCAAATAACGGATCAGGTTCCTCAAATTCGTCAGGATTTTCTACCTCAACCAAATCATACAAATTCTTCTTCTCAATGGAACACTTGACATGGATAGCAAAATCGCAACCTGGTCGAGAACAATGGTAACTCCCATGCTCCATGTTCACTTTTTCAAAACAGATTTTGCAATCCCAATCTCTAGAATCGTGTTGCTCAATGTAGGGGAAATAGCAGTGGGAGATGGGATGGGGATGAAGATTGAGTCTAATGTGACGTGGCAATGAAACACAGTCCTTGTGAACTTGAATATTGCAGGTAGAACAAGTATAGCAAACATAATTTCCCTGTTTGCCACATGCATTACAATCGAATGGGTCATTTGGTTTTAAGAACAAAGTAAAAGGGTGATCATGATGAGATTTGTCTTCAATAATGGGCGGTGGCCAAGCACATCCGAGGTGTATGTAAAACCCGCAAGGGACACAACGATAGTGAAGTTCAAGCATAATATAGTGTTCGCACAGGCTGCACTTAGGGTCGTCTTCATCGGAATCATTGAAAACTAGCAAAAGTTGGTGCCTACGGTGGCAAGGGTGATTGATTGTTGAGGGTAGTTCAAGACATTTTTTATGGAAGAACTTTGTACAATCAAAACAAGCGTACGAAACATCGCCTGAGCCGTGGCAACCATGGCACCAATAACCGCTTATTGGATTAATGGAAACCAAAGGATGAGGGTGGGCAACATGGAGGGTCTCAATCAAGTTTCCTCCAGTGTCACGTGGAAGCAGAGAGCAATTAAAGTCTAGGTAAAATTCACAAGAAGAACAATGATAAATAAATCCCTTAACCTCATTGAAGCAAATGTTGCAATAAACTTCTCTTTTCTGATGTTCCGAAGCTGGAAGGAGAAGAAGAGGGTGGTCGCGGTGAGCAGGGTGATGTATCTCCGAGGGCACCTCAGCACATTTCTTGTGCAGGTAAAACTGGCACTCCCCGCACTGTAGCTCGAATCCGACACCTTTTCCGCACAGCCAGCGCAGTCGTAAGTGGTGTCCCTTGGACTGCTGGTGTCTTCTTTGAATACCAATGGATGGTGATGGTTCATGTGATGAAGCTCAACCATGTTTCTTTTTCTCTGCGTCTCTTCACTGATCCAGATTTTTCTCACTTAAGGCACCAAGTCAATGCTTGGCTCCGACTTTTCTACAACTACTCCAGCGGCCAGCATTAAAATACTTTAAAATTGTAGAAAAAAAATATTAAATAGGCCACTTGGAATTGAAATCTGAATCAACATAGGATGTTTTGTCTGTTCAAAGCAGGCAAGTTGAACATTGAATACAACACCACGTATAATCACACAATGCATCCTACAACTTGTAAACATGTTTGAGACAACCAAGAAGCTTCAAATAAGCATACAAGGACTTTCATAGCACGTAGTTCATAGCTTTCATAAATTTTACATTTAAAAATCATGCTTAGTGCATACAAGAATGTCATTTAAAAGTCATAAAAAGGGGTATTTCATCATTTAGGACTTATAACTAAATACATGTCCATTATATTAACCTTTAATCATGTAAGTCTCATAGAGCATTTTCATATAGCTTATCTAACTTCCATATACTTATAGTTATTCTTTTAGTCATTTAGTTCCATTAGGATCTTGATAAACGAAAGGTACATAAATGAAAAGTATAGCGTTCGAGTGCGTGAGAATAGTATAGCACCAAAAGGTATAATAACAGTATAACCCCGTATGAAAGGGTGAATGATCCGTATAGCACTTGAAGGTGAGAATTAATCGTATAACATTCGAAGGCATAAAATGATCATATAGTCTATAAAACTTTATGGCATGCAAACTGTACCTATTGAGTCTTCAGTAATTTACAAGGTCGAACTTTAGTATATATTAATATTCTTTTCTTACAAGCACTCTGTGAATCATATAACATTTATTTTAACAAAATATATATTTGCATATATACATATAAGCCTTTAGGCAAACTTTTCCTTGTCATGTACTCGTGTATCATCTTATAGGTCACAAATGCAACATAGCTTGTTATATTATTATGTAAACACCATATAGTCCATAAGGCAACATGTTCATTTAACCATTTAGAGTATTCACTTTGGGGCACACTTAAGAATGTAATTCATTCAAGCATACTAGCATACATTAGCATGCATTTCCGATATCAAGCATATCATCCAAGCGTACTAGCATACATATCATATAATATCTCATCCATATCATTCAGACACTTTGGCATGTAAATCATATAAGCTTCAACTTCTGACAAGAAATTTAAAATCAATAATTGAAGAAAATAAGAGCATCAATCCCACATGGAGTCGCCATTTTTAAAATCTCGCCAGTGAACAAAGAAAAACAATACAACTTACAAGATTGAACAATAATGAACAAAATTCAGAGTTACAAAATCTGGCACAAATGATCCAAATAACCATATATTACATCTAAACCAGATAAAGAAAACAATACAACTTATTACACCACAAAATGTAATACAAAGACCAAGAAAACCACTCTGTTTTCCAACACCAAGTTCGCTTATTGAGTGGTTTAATACACCATTCACCACTAGTACCAGTGTTACAGCCACCACCGATGTCACTGCCGCTACCAGTATCACTGCCACTATCACAATCAGTGTCGCTGCCGCTATCAGTACCACTGCCACTATCACAACCAGTGTCACTGCCACTATCACAACCAGTGTCACTGCCGCTATCAGCTCCAACATAGAAATACGTTGGTCCTATGCAGATCCAATGAAAAATATATTTGCTTCCATGCTTCTCACACTCAAGGGTTAGATCTTGGCATGGCTCACCACAGTCATTGCATTAAGAGTAGTAACACATATTCCTGACGAAAGTGACAGGATGCGGATGATCTTTATATGTGTAATTACTTCCGACTCTCATAAATGTATATTTCTCGAGAACACATTTGATATGCAAAGCATTGTCACAAGTTTCACAATGATAATACCATTTCCGTGGATCTCTTCTTTTTTCACAGATGTCACAATAGTGTCATAGTAGATAGTCGTCACGATCTTGATAAGCAAGCGTCAAAGACTGTTGATCACACTTATGCCGAGCAGTGCGTGGTAAGGTCAAACATCTCCCATCCAAACAAAATGTGCAATCCTTGCATCTATAAACCCCATAGTTATCCCATAAATCTTTACAACAAGCATTGCACTTGCCTTCATGATTTTCAACAAAGAAGATGTAATGTGGCTTATCGGCTTGAATCAATTTTTTATAAATGTTATCTATTTTGTTTTAAAATATAATTTTCAAAACAATATTTTTCACCTTAAACCATTTTTTTTAATAAAAGTTATATATTTTATGTTAAATTTAATGGTGCGAACTAAGTTAATAAAATTAAACTATTTTTTGGTATTTAGGATTTTCTAATTAAAAAATAATTATTCACTTGAAAACTTTCTAATTTTAATTATTTTTATTTAATATATGTGATAAATTCAATTTATCGATGTTTGTCAATAAAACCAACACACAAAATCGCAAATAGATTAGGTATTCCACGCGCCCTTTCAAAGAGTGAAACGCAAGGCTTTATCTTGATAATCTCAAGTCAGGCGCGTGAAACTTACACATCCTGAATTCCACGTTTTTAAATCTCAATCCCGTGAGTCTCGTATTGGCCGGTCTCAGATGGAACGTATCTTTTTCCTTCGTGTCCAAGAATATAATGTCTTTCTTCCTCGTGATTATGCAGTTGAATGAAAATTGACATCTTCCACAAAAATATATTTTTAATTATCGATTATAAGTAAAATTAATAGGACGAGATATTGATCGAAATTCTTATAATCATAAAATATTAATGATTTTGATAGTAATGGGAAAATATAAAGGCAAATTATCTGTTCGAAATTCACTTATTTTTATATTTCTCTTTTAATTATTTATTTTTAATAAAAATATATATAATATTATATTTTGATTCGATTTTATTTATAGATATAAATAGGGTGTGCTTCGTAAGGACTCACCCTACTTATCCAATTGGGCATAAATGAGTATATGTTTGTGGCTCGTGGGTGATGGAACAAACATAAGTATGACCTCGTACTCGTTGCATCACCACTTCCTATGTAACATTGTCCTACGTCATCTTCGTCTACCCGTTATACCTAATAAATATATATTTTTAAAAAATAATACACATATTTTACATGTGTTTATTAACTTTTAAAAATTTTACCCTTATGTTGCATTTGAAGATATTTATGATGTACATGAGACATTATTTATATTTAGATATTATGTAAGACTTTTCTTTATTGATATTTTTGAACTTGTATTGAAGTTATATTTTAATTTATCAATTAAAAGATAAAGACGACTTATCATTATTTTTAAAATGATTACAATTGAAATAATATCACATGTGTTTTATAAAAATAATTTATTTTATTTAATCGATACTTATAAATATATTATATGAAGTGATTCATAAAGTATGTATAATCAAAATTAGGTGAATCTCGAGATTCACATAAATGATGGACGGTGATAGTTTTAGTTTTGTAGGTCACCAGGATGGAATGATTTAGATTTTATACCTACAACGGGTCACAAGGTGAAATGATGATGAAAATTTTTGACGAAATAAAATAATGTTAGGTACGTTTTTATAAAAAAATAATAATTGAATGATTAAAACAGAAATATAAAAATAAGTAAGATACTAAATTGGTAGTTTACCCAAATAATATATAGTATATAATTGTGTCAATTAATCTAAACAATATAATATTTGAAAGTGGGCCCTACTCGAAATTTCATTTTTTGAATAAATAAACAAATAAAACCAAAATATTAAATAAAAAATAAAATAAAAAGCTCTCCTCAAAATCAACCAATCAATCATTACATTTCATAACCAAGGCGAAAAAAAAAATCGAGATTGCCTTCTTCAGGCTTTTCTGCATAAGGCCGTAAGGTAATCTTTCTCAAATCTCTTCAATCTTGTTCGATCTCAGATTCTGTATCTATTTTTTCGATTTTTTGGGGGGTTTAATTTTCTCTCTCTTTTGGGTGTAAAAAAAGAATAAATTATAGTGATCGATTCCTTTTCTCTTTCGATGGTTATGCTTTCTTGGTGAAATGGGTATGTTGTAGATTCTTTTTTTGGTCGATCCTTTGTATGTGTTTTCCTTTTTTATTGGTTTTTAATAGATTTATTATAAAGGGGTTGCTGGGGTTGAGCTGCTGGGAAGCGTGTTAGACTTGGACTTGGTGTTTGATTTTAGGTTTGTTTTTGGAAAATTAGTTGTTGGGTTGAAAACCCTTTTTCAGGGTTTTGATTGTATGTACTAAGTTGTTCATGGCTTGTGAGTTGCTGATTATAGGAATATGAGGTATGACCCACTGCATGCTTCAAACAAATTCTGCATTTGCTTTATCATTTTTATGATCCACAAAGTACAAACTGCACTGCGAAGCTAGACTTAATCGAAAGCTGAAAGACCTAGTTTTCAAGAAAAAGAATACAAGATCAACTGGTAGTAGAGGTGTAATTTGTGAGTGATATTATCTTGCTCTGACTATTTTGTGCTGCATATTTAAGCTTTTGACAATCAATGGATGATAGTTGTGCCTGTTTGATCGTAAAAAAAAATTGAATTCAGTTTTGTTTTGTTTCGTTTGCAGTATAAAATATGAATTCCTTCAATCTTCTGACCTTTTTTATGGCTTGTTTTGGAATCGCAGAATTCCCACTTTTCTCACTGTAAATAAGTGCAAAAGTTTGTGAACTTTTGGGATTTGTCTTACTGAGGTTTTGAGACTTTTCTTCTAAGATTCTTGTTCTTCCCTTACCATGGTAAGTTTCTACCATTTATATGTTTCGATGATTGGGAAAATTAACAAATTCTTTGTTCAATTGCTAGTTGCATGTTATTATTTGTCCTAGCCAGTTACTTATATGTTATGACGTTTTCATTGTGTATGAAGTATGAACTCATTATTTGATCGTTTAGTAACGGTGTTGTGTTTTGTTAGGCAACCAATGAAAATCTTCCACCAAACGTTATAAAGCAACTGGCGAAGGAGTTGAAGAGTCTTGATGAATCGCCACCCGAAGGCATTAAAGTTGGTGTAAATGATGATGACTTTTCGATCATTTATGCCGACATTGAAGGGCCAGGCACTTAATTCTGTCTGGACAAATTTACTTCCTTTGCAGCATGCTTGTTACTTTTCCATTTACTGAGAATATTTTTGGCTTTGCAGCTGGGACTCCATATGAAAATGGTTTTTCCGTATGAAGTTATTACTGTCTGGTGACTTCCCTCATTCTCCTCCAAAAGGTATGTTTAATAGGTTATTATAGTAATGCAGACATAATTAGATTTCAACACTTCTATGAGCTAGAAAAGTTCAAAACTGGGTCATGCACTTGGGCTTCTGTAGTATAATACCGCAACTTCGTTGCTTGCAGTTGCGTTTAATAGGTATGTTTTATAAGTTAGTATAGTAAACCAGGCATAATTAGATTCCAACGCTGCTATGAACTAGAAACAATCAAAACTGGGTCATGCCAATCTTCGTGTGCTTTTTAGTCACCAAACTTGTGGTGATACTATATGTAGAAAAATGTTCTATTTTGCGCAATAGTGAATATTGTTAATATCATGGGTACTGCAGGGTACTTCCTGACAAAGATTTTTCATCCAAATATTGCGACCAATGGCGAAATTTGCGTAAACACTCTAAAAAAGGATTGGAATCCAAGTCTTGGATTACGACACGTACTCATTGTAAGTTCCATTGGACCCAGACTTGATTCTTGCATCTATTGTTTTTTTCAGTTTGATAAGAACCGCCCAAAGACTGCAAATTTCTTTTGGTAATTCAGCTTTAGATCTTTAGATTCATGTCTTTTATCTTGGCACTGCAGGTAGTTAGGTGTTTATTGATTGAACCATTCCCAGAATCAGCTCTAAATGAACAGGCTGGCAAGATGCTGCTTGAAAATTATGACGAGTATGCCCGGCATGCCAGGTGTGGCTTGCCTAACCCATTTAGGCCTAACAAATTTATTCATTAGTTATTTAATATTTTGCGATGTGGAAATATAGAACCTTCAGCTGGAAGTTCACAAACTCGTCCAGTTGGAATGGCTTCACATTCTGTAATATTAGTTTAGTTGTTCGACTTCTTCTACAAATGGACGATCAAGCTTTCAAATATTGTTATTCTTTTAAGCCTTACAGATATGATAAGATATTATATAGTTTAATATCATATAAGAGCATCTATTTTTTAGTGAACTGATCGAAGTAGGAAGGTGCAAAGATGGTATGAGTGATGCACTCTTAAAGGAATTCAGTCAGAATTTGTGCACAACCATGTAGGTCTCACAATCTTATGTTCTTAACACAGGCTTTATACTGGAATCCATGCAAAGCCGAAACTGAAGTTCAATCAGGAGCTATTTGTGAGTCAACTACGGTATTGAATGTGGAGCAGCATAACACCTCTGTTCTGAATGTTGAGCAGAAAAATGCAGCAAATGGTGCCGGGTTATCGTTGCCTACCCCGCTCACCCCGACAACCGCATCAACAAAAGGAAGCAACAATCCAGACCACCAGCATCAACATCCTACGGTTCTGGCAACTGAAACTGGGTTTATTGGAAGCGGCATAGTGGGAATATCGGGCACTGCACCTAAGAAGGAAGGTTTACATAAAGTTCCTGCAAACAAGAAGAAAATGGATGCTAGAAAGAAAAGTCTCAAGAGATTGTAAAATCGTAGTTTTTTTATAAATTAATTAAAAAATAACTTCATAAGGCGTTCGGAAATTGGTTGTTTTCTGGAGTAATGATGCTTCAATTTGGGAATGTGATGGATCAAATTTGCACATTGTTTTTCCATCTCGTATTCTCCTGCTGCTTATACATAAACAGGATAGATGCATATGCATATATTATCCTATCCAGAGAGTGATTGTTGCCTTTCTTTACATTTCTCTTTAAAAATTATAATTCCTTCAAGCAATTAGGGCTTCAAAAAATTGAGATTAATATAAGTAACAAACAGACGAGGATTTAAATACTTCACCGCATTCTATGCCATATTCAATGTTCAAGTTGCCTGTGTGAAACAGACTAGGCATCCTAAGTTGATTAAGAATCCAATCCTAAGTTGATGCTTCTTTTGACGTTGGCTGG